TCCAGACCAAGCCTATCTCCCTATCCTCTGGAACTGGACAGTTGATGCTGCATGGATTCAAAAGGATAGTACCATCGAATCCGAAGGTCACGTCAAGTGTCCCTCATGTGCCATGGAATGGGGCCAGATACGCATTCGAACACTTCTACGATTTTTAACAGAAATCACATCCGTGGCTTACCCCGAAACGGTCGACAACGCGCTGAACTCTTTATTTGCACTTCTAAACCTTTATTCAAGTCATGTTTAAGGCAGAGGAATTCCCATTAAACGAGGGTTTTTGTTATACATGAACACGTGAGAGCCTCTCACTCGTATCTGATGGACCTGCGATTCGTGGCACTCAAAAAGCGCATTCTTCCGGAACGAAAACAAGACGAGCGGCAAAAGAACGGTTTTTTACGTAGGCATTTCACCAGCCTTTAGATTATCTTCACACATGGTGAACCATTCCTTAAAGGACGAATTCACGATGAAAAAGCAACCCATTTCAAATTAACCTAGGGATGGTGAGTGGTACACGAAAGAAGGAAAAAACCATGAGAAACGGCCCAGAACCCGAGAAATGGGACCCCTTCCTTGCCCGTTGATTTGCGCATTGATGCGACTCTCATCGCTGTGCCCTCTTCAACACTACGCTCTCTCTCTGCTATCTAATCACTCGCCACGTATAGACCTGCGGCGAGTGATTAGATAGTCGGTGGGCGTACCCCGCCAACCGCGCCAAGAGTGAGCCATGCTAGATCGCCGAGGTCAAATCTTTCGCTGCCAATTGCGCGTCAGTCCGCACCCTCAGGAGGTCCGCCGGTCTCTCAACTAGGCAATTACTCCTTCTTCGACCTTCATTCTAATCGTGAATCCTCCTTTAATTAATCGTTATCAAACATTGGTAATGATCGCTTACTTTAGATAAGTAATAATAATTGAAATCGTAGACCTACAACACTTAAAAATGTGAAAGGGTGAAAAAAATTCGAGGCAGTCAAGGAGAAATCAGGTTACGCGTTGATTACATTTTTATCACATCGCAGTACATAATTACTTTTACTGCGGAAGTGACAACTTTCCAGCTTTTTAGCTTGGACCTTTTCAGAAGTTCATTAAAAAGGCGATCCATTACGGAATGAACGGAAACAGCTGCCTAAATTTTAATGCGATATAATCTGACACAGATTTGATGAACCAATTATGAAAAAGCTTTTAACGCTTGTTGGATTCACTTCTTTTATAAAATTATTTTCCTATACTAGATTTTCTTATTTACTACGAAGACGATCAAATTTCAATTTTGATTAGGGTTCCACCGTTACTTTCAATTTACCGATCTTGTGCCTCCCTTTATCGACCAAACTTTTACATAAGTTCCACCGGAAAGCATCATTGGAACCTGCGTGGTACATGATGACCTGTAGGCGTTCAATGATGCACACCCTCGTCTATCCGAAGTTATTACGTCCATTGTTCTCTGACGTCTGATTCCCTCCACTTCTCAGCACGTCGTTTCGCCGTCTATAACGCTATACATTTTTGTTTTGGCTCGCAGCTCGTATGGCGACTGCTCCCGCGAGGAAAGCTATCGGTACGTTGCGATTGCCAATCCATTTCATTTGTTGCTTCCAACTCTCGTCATTAATATCGTCATTTGTCATTTATTTAGCTTATTTTAATTTCGTCGGTTTCATTGTTCACGGCGCACGTTACTAAACCTTATGGGTGTACATCACTGCATTCTTTGAAAATTCTTCTAAATCGAGCTCAAAAGATTCACAATAGCAGAGGCCGCACTAATGGAACTGCGGTAACGAGAAGTTCCTAGGAAATCAAAGCCCTTTGTTTTCGCTAAAACGCTAGATTTCACATTTTGCTGACCATCTATTATGTTTTTTGTGGAAGGAGGTGGTGTAATGGCAAAAGTGGTTCCACTTCTCGCGCGTACGATCCGGGATCGAATCCTCGATTGCACCTCGTCGTGGCCAACTAAGCCTTCCATCCCTCTGGAGTCGGCCAGTTGAAATCGTAATTGTCTGGGGGCATACAAACCTAAACCTGTATTCAAGCCGGTCTCAAAAGCCTTTGCATAAATCAACTCGCATTCAAATGCCACCACGATTCTGAATGAATTAGAGTGCGTGGCGCATCCCAGGAAAGATCGATCATCATTGAACGCCTGAATATTCACTCTTCTGAACTTTATTACATTATAGATTGTAGTTTAGAATGAGCAGCAAAACCGGCATAATTGTGAAAATAAAATTCTAAGCCAACATCTGATCAATAATGCTAAAAGCTGTGTAAGTACAAACGTGCATTCTCCGTCCAACAACGCCACAATATCCCTAATTAGACTTTCTTAGCTGCCAAAACAAGTTTACTGCCATCTGACTACCCTCGAGAGAATGAAAGACTTTTTTGATTGGACGCTTCGAACCATGGGCCGAGTAGGTAATGAAAGAGCTCAATGCCGCTCCACCGTCTTCGTCAACAACCAAAATAGGGGGCTGCTTTAATTTGGTACGCTATGGGCGTGGCTTGAATTTCTGATCCTCATACTCTGGTATAGAGAACTCGCATAGCTATCTTTAGCCGCCAACTACATTAGTAATAAGTCACCGATCCCCTTAGAGAGCTGTAAGAGCGCTTCAAAAAGCTCAAAATCAAAGCCAAGTTGATCAAAGCCAAGAAAGTGGCACTGTAACTCAACAAGCACAACCCTGTTTTGCGTAGTCCTTAGAAAGTTCAGCGGAATGTTTTCAATTGGTGTAGGCAAATTCGATCTATAAGCTTCCGCTGCGAGTCGACAGACTTAGTCACAGGCAATACAATGACTATGACGCTTTCATTCGTTTAGTCCCACGGATGCTTTCAGGAAAAGCCGATGTTCCCCAACGAATGGCGAAGCAGACACGGAATGTGCATGTCCATTTCGAAGCCGGACTACCAGACGACGATTCAACCGACTCAAGCGATGGCGAGAGCGCTCCGTCAGTCGAGGAAGAGCCGAAGAGCTCAAATGAGGTTTGTGTTGAGTTCCGAGATATAAATTGATGATTAGGCTCAATTTATTAGCGATAAATAATTTACAGTACTTCCGAATGGGGCTTTTTCACACGTTTTATGGGGTTTAAGCTTTTATGGGGTTTAAGCTATCAATTGATAGTAATATCCTTTAGTAATTACAAGAGCCCTCCGCAAGATGAGGAGTGATTGCTGTTTTTGCACACCTCACAGATGCAGTTGATTGAACTGTTGTCTTCTTTTAAACAGGAATTCTCTTACCACAGCGCCCCGGCTAAATGTTATCGAAAACCCGTATGCATTGGCCCCGCCCCTGTAATTAAGGGTGACAGCCTCGAAGGCACATTCCATGATGTGAAGTCATGGGATTACTCTCGAGAGCAGGTTAGGGACCAAAAGAACGTGGGTTATGCTGCGTTCTTCGCTGACAAAAACTAATGCGAAACACGAGGGCGCTTTCATTTCAGCATTCAAGGACACGGGGGTTCTTCTCTTGTCGATCGCGAGGTATCTGCGCTGTCGCCGAAAAACAAACATACAAACTCGTCTGTTCCCTCTCTCGGCGCTTACAAGGGAGGTCTTTCAGGCCAAGCCGCGCTTTTTGAAAACGGTTCCTTACATGTTGTAGGGACGCATGTATGGACCACAAAACCATGTTTCGTTTTCGCTGAACGGTTTTAGTAGTACCAAAAAGTGGTGAATAATACTCTTGATGGTTCAATCCCCCGCGGCGACTAAATTTTGCAATCAAGGTTGGCGGCCACTTGTTGGCTTCAAAATGGTCCTGACGATGAATTTGACATCTGATTTGATATTTAGCGCGATTTGGCACCAAACCGTAGGCGCCAACCCAAATGCAAAATTTAGTCGCCACGGGGGATCGAACCCTTAACAGTACCTTATGCTTCTTTTTGGGTACTGCTATAACCGTTCAGCGAAAATGAAACATGGTTTTGCGTTCCCTACATGCGTCCCTACAATATGCACAAAACCGTTTTGAAAAAGCGCACCTTGCCCTGAAAGACCTCCCTTGTTAGTGTTTCTCATAACATAGCCCACCGAGCAAAAAATATTAATTTTAGCTTTTTGATGGTTTGCCGAGTTTCTTCCCCAACTCCCCACCTGTCCAACTGCTCCTAACTCTTTACCTTCATTTAACGAAATGTCCCATTGTGCTTCAAGTGAACTTCAATATTTCGATGTAAATCCCAGTGAACTGCTCAAGCAGACAAACGTCTTCTTGAGATTGATCAATTCGATCCACGATTCTTTCAGCCGCGTACGTCATCAAATCATGGCATTTCGAGTCGAATTCAAAAGCGGAAAATGCCTGTGCGACGGCCAACAGCCTACGTTTCTGGTAGAGAACCGATACAACCGAAACACGACGACAAAGAAGCAGCAGAACAATCAAGCAGCAGCGACACTCCTCCGCCATCTTCCTCTGAGGTGCGCTTTTGAAGAGCTTTTCACCAATTTTGAAACTCAGGAATTCGGACATTCTTGGAAAAGGAGGGAAGCAGAGTTTCGAGTTTTCGGACTATCTGTATACGGCGTTGTTATAAGATCATTTACATATTAAATCAACTGGAACTAGAGCTGTAAACTGCTGCTGTTAATCACAAGGAATCGAACCCTCGGGTGTCAGCGCACAACGAGCGCGTTCTCCGACTGAGCCACGCGTGGCCTGCAATTATAATTCGAATCAATGAACAGAGAAAAAAAGGGAAAACTGTCCCTCTGAATATCATTTCAAACCATCACTACTGTTTTTTAATCAGGAAATCAAACCGTCCTATTTTCTCATGTATTCCAATACTATTCCAAAATAATAAAAAATTTCCGCTTCTATTAAAATCGTCTGTTTTGGGTAATGATTCATTAGTAAATTTGCAAAACATTTGCACGGAGTGGGATTTGAACCCACGCACCCATACGAGTACCAGAACGCTCAATCCGCTTCTCGCGGCAAGTGTATGCTTGAGTCTGGCGCCTTAGACCACTCGGCCATCCGTGCACGGGTGCCGTTGTCGCAATGTACCTATTCAGATCGATTTTTCATGAAGCCCTGAATGGTATACAAACTCTCGACGGCGACTACTGCTCTTTAAACACCCTCGCTAAACATTACTTTAAGATTTAGTTGTAAAATTGTGAAAAACAGCAACGCTGTAACATCATACGGTCAAAATTCGACTTTGCCCCGATCCATGAAAAACGAGGTAACCATTTTACGGGGACTGTTCAAGTTGTTAAAGAACAAATTTTTGGCCTGGCTCCTTACCTTACCCATCCCCAAATTTGAAAATGTTGGGCGGGCGTTATAATTAATTGATGAGTCCTACTAGCGGTTCACAGGAGCTCTGCACTCACAAATCAGTTGGCGACGAGTGAAAAAGGCAGTTTATGGCTAGTGTAATGGCTGAATGCTCGGGAACATGTGAGCTGCAGGAAGTTCCGCAACCACAAGCACAAATCGTCGATCGAAACGTACTCATGCCACCCCCCCCCTCCTCCATAGCCAAAAATTCATCATAAAACCCCCTCATGATGCTAAATGGAACTCAATAGGCGGTCCATATAGCAAGTTTTAATCAACACTTACTACATGTTTTATATGCTCATCCGATCACTAATTTCTTCTAAACATAGAAAATATCAAAATTTCTCTACTTATACTGTATTAAGATCTCCTAGTCGAATTCTTCTCAAACAAGGAATGTTTCAGGGAGCGAAAAAATCACCCACGTTGGAGCAACGACTTCGAGAGCTCTCCGTTAAATATAAGCAACAAGATCAATCTCCTGATCGCGAACCATCGCCAGCTTTGTTAAAGAAACCTTTCACAGTAGTCAAAAAATCATAAGAAACCCAAAATTATTACTGTTCTTTGATTACAATAGTGTACGCTAGAATATTGATTGAAATGAAGTGTTTTTGTTTACTTTATTAGAAACAACACAGTTGTTTTGACAATTATAGTGAAGACAATGACAAATAATTATTGAATATGACCTTCAGAATTGATTTTTACAAAAAATAGTTCATAAGAACGAAAAATGTTCATAGGAATTAATATCGACACGAAACAACGGCGCAAAAAAAGAATGTTCAACAAATCAAGGAAACAAAATACGTTCGATCACTTCTCGTGATTCAAGCTCTCGCCTCTTGTTCCAGTACCTCGTCGGCTTCGCAGAACTTGGGCTTCATGCAGTCCTCCACATACGCGACTTCTAGAGGAGACACTGCTACACCGTTCCACACAGAGACCTCTTTGCTCAGATCTGAATGCAAGTAAGTGACCTCCTTAAAAAATTGAAAATCGATACATCTATTACATTTAAAAAAGAAAACGCAAGAAACTCTAACACTCCCAAAATTCTTTCCATTTTCATTCCATGTACAAACTTCTCAAACTATATTTAGAACTTGGTGGTCTACTGAAAAGGACACTTTTCCTAGGTGATTTTCTAATATACCTCGATGCCAAGCAGAACTCTGACATCTTCCGATTTCTAAACCTTCTTACGAAAAGTTGAAGAAAAAGAAAAGAAAAAGAAAAAGATTAAAATTAAGAGCATACATTTCTGTGCGAAAAAAAGATCTAGCAAAATAATGAATGAGTAAAAAGAGCGCGAAGAAGCCAGCTTCGCTTAATCATCGTAACATCCTCTTGACATTAATTTGAAATTAGGACCACCAACGTTACCGATTCCAAATTTTCGAAAGGTCCATCCCGACACTACACATGCCCTCCATTACAATGATCATCTCGAAGAGAAAAAAATTGCAACGTCTGCGCATTACTACACACGAGATCCTAAAATTTTGATAATTATGGCGAAAATGACAGCGAGATCATTCTCGACGCAGCAAAACGAAAATGTTTACCATGTCTTCAAATGAGAGATCATACGCAATACGCATTCCTGGTTCGGTTGGATCGAAAAGAGTGGGACTTCCAGGTAAGAAAATACCCTAAATAAAAAGACGTTTAAATTGAAAAATAAATATTATAAATAATCCCACTGGCACTCTTCTACCAATCCACCGTGTTTACGCTACTACTTAAAAAGAACGCGGTATTTGACGACGTTACAAAATAATCACTCACCTGTGGCAAGAGCTTCAAATACCCTCCTGAAAGCTGGACCCAGCGGCAACGGCTGTCTGTTTGACGTATTCATGACTGCGAAATGCGCCTGGAATAACGGATTTGAAACTTGTGAACTTTGAAAAAAGTGTATCGTGGTCTGATTCAAATTGTAGCAAAAGAAGGCTGCTCATTCAAACAAAATGCACTTCAAAAAAAATGGAATAATGACACTCACCAAATACTCGATTACCCAAACAGAAAGTGGTTGGAGCCCAGTGTAACGTCGTCGGATGTCCTTGAGAACACGGACAAGCATCTAGACGAATAAAAGGGGGAGGAGGGGGATGAAATACTAGAGCAGACGAAACACCACTAAAATTTCAAACCTACCCTTGAAAGGAATGAGTGTTGCTTCTCAAACCAGGTCTACATGACGTAATTGCGTGATACTGATCATCATGAAACTCTTCCGCTACTTGAATTTAGAGAAAAATACGTATAACGTATTCACAAATCTCTCAAAGTAAGACCTAAATAAAGTGACTTACAATTAATCTGCCTCCAAAGTTCGGAGGCAAATTACTTGGAAGTTTTATGAGTATCCGTACTTGAGCGTGGCGCAGGCCAACAGACACCCAAAGTCAACGTGAGGACCTCCATCGAAACAACTCGAAAAATAAACCAATGGAAGATATAACTGTTTTCAAATAAGATTTTGAGTTAGGAACCAGTCTCAAGAACGAATAAAGAAAAACACCTCTTCTGAGTCTCGGACTCCTTCTGCAATTTGTTTCCTAACGCCAGCACATCTCAACAAAATGTTAAATCTAACATTCTCCAGTAATTCGCGTCTCAACATATTCACAAAAATTTACAAAAAAAACTAGAAAACCAAGAAGAGAACAACCTCCGACGTTGGCTAGAGTCTGGCATTAGTTATTACGGATATCAGCAACAGTATGCCCCGTTAAAGCTGTATCCTTTTTGAAGGAGCCAACCTCACGGTATTCTTCAAATCTCTGTAATACTTCCCTAACATTGATGTTAATCGAAAGTCACATCCAAGTAAACTTACCACTCCCGGCACGCAATCGGGTGTAGTCATTACTTTGTCGATTGCTCCTTTCACTTTCAACAGTAGTGCTGCAACCGTCGTGCGTTCTGCGTCCGTAGGAGTCAGAGCAGTGGCTCGAGCGACCACATCCTTTAAAAAGTTCTTTCGGAGATCAAAACAGGTTCTTTCGTGACGTGGTCACCTTAAAAGAATTTATAATATGGAAGAGGCTGGAAAGAAGTTCAAAGTGCAGCTTTTCTTTTCATATCCAACGGCTGTTGAAACCATCATACTTCAATAACGCCCGATAAACCCCTCACAGTTCTCACTGCAATCTTGCCCTTTTCGAGAACCTTCACCGAAGTCAGAAAAAAGAAATTCAATCCAATTTAATCACCTAAACGTGGCACCGTCGATCGAATCTGGTCACCTTCACCAACTGGACACCCATAGTTTTTTGTTGGCCCAGCAACAACGCCCGTCCATAAGTCCTCCAATTAATTATATCCTGTGACATGTGCATCATTGTTTTCGTTGAGCGTCACGCCAAACGTCGCTGCACAGGCATATGACGTCAAACGAGGTAAGGGCGACTGGAAACTTCCGGACCAGCATAACACCACGGAGCGCGACCACATGCCTACCACGGAGGCCTCTCACCAACCATCTTAAAACTACTCAACCCAAAGTATAACGTGAGGCTCAAATTTACAGGCAATTTGACAAAATGTGAAAAATTAGAAGTAGAAAGTGGAAGCTCCTGCCCTTTTGGCTCTTGAAGGTTGGGTTTAAGTTGTGACAGTGCAATAGGGCACTTCATGGGCGCTGACGGCAACCTGCACAGGCATTAATAGGTAAACGATCGATCGACGGACTTGTCAGACGATCGGACGATCGATACGTACCTAATGCAGGGCAATCGTTAAGATCGGACGACTTTCTATGAACGCGCCAATATATACTGCACTTAACTTTCCTTCCAATTTTTGGCACAATGTGGCTCCGGAGGAGATGGGGAGAGCCGGTAGCACTGCTTTATATTCATGGAAACGCTCAGCTCTCGGACAAAGTCTTAGGAGAAAAGGGAATCCAAGGTGCGGAAGCCATTCCCATCCTCTCCAAAATCGTACCGCTCCGTTAAGTTTAGTCCTAATAGCCTTTCGAACTACCCCCAACCTCCCCCGAAGCAAATTGCGCTAAAAATTTTCATGAGATCCAAGCTTCTACGAAAGACATTGACAGTTAACTAATGAGAATACGGACATCTCGATGGCGCGGCGCTGTTTTCGTCTGCTCTACCAAGGCTTAGTCACCGATGGCGCGTATTTTGAAACTGCCACATAATGGCGAAAGAGTAACTGCCCCCCGAACCCGAGTTTCACTTTACTCGCTCTTAGTTCCATTGAGATCTTGCAAATGTTTTTTTTTTCAGACATGTCTTACTACACAGGGTCAGTGATTGTATCCCAAGTGTGAAGCTGGCAAGTCGCTGGTGAACAAAGACTGGGTTATAAGAGAACAATCCTCTTCTTAGCTTTAATATGTGTTAGTTTATATCGTAACAATCGGGGTCGTAAATTTCGCAAAATAAAGACAAATGGTTTATAAAATGGGATTTTTTTTCGTTGTAGAGGTTCTTTGCAGAAATCCTCCTTAGGTGATTAGCGCCCAGACGAAAGAAAACCCTAACAACAACTCTAATAAGTTAACAAAACCATGGAAATATTAAAATGTAATGTTTGAGAAAAAGCTATTTCTGCATGTTCAATGCTGTTATTCTACATTGTATAGCAGGAATACAAATTCTACAAAGAGATGAAAAAGAAAAGAAACGGGAATAAAAGAGATGACCGAGTGAACTCACCGACTTGAGCCTCATCCAATGACGCCGTGACATCGATTGCAGCAGCCGCATTCTACACCGTCAATGGATCGACGACGTCGTCCTTCATCCACCGCTCTGTGCACTTATTCGCGAACGTTCGAATTCAATTCCACGGGTTTTCAATTATGCCCCGATAATTTAGGACCAGTTTTCACTCGAATTATGTGTTCGAGGAAAATCAGCATCACCCATATTTATTTGGCACAGCGGAGGAAGGGAGTTTGAGTTCGCCCAAAGACAAAAACAATTACGGGTCTATTCCAATTAGGGGGGAGGGGCATCATGATAAAGTTTTTTCAGAGCGCTAAGGTAACTCGAGCCAGAGGGATTGTAGCCAGTCTAGGGAGTGAGGGCAGTCACTTGACATGCGTGAAAAGCTTGAATGTTCGACTTCACCGAGAAACTGCATCATCAACCCCCTAACTGGAATAGACCCCAATTATCAATTTATGATGGGAATAGATCGCATACACAAGCTTCTTTCGAGCTTCGGAGTTATACTACTATGAATGTGGAAATCACAAAAGGTCTGGAAAGAGTAACAGAGCCATCTGCTCTCTGTTGACTTCATACCACGGCAAGAAACTTGTTAGGAATCGACAGGAAAGGAGTAGCCCATGCGTTCAAAGGATTCTCAACATGAAAAAGGTAACTTTTGCAGTGAAATACCGCAAAGGGAATGTAGATGTCATGGTAATTATTGATCGAAATATGAGCGATGAAGGCTGGTTGTGAGGAGTGGAAAGTAAATATTTTATTCGCGGGTAAAGTAAATGAGTTGCCTGGACCCGCAAATGATCACTGCATAATCTCTCGAATTTGATTCAAGCAAATCTGACTGATAATGAGCGGACCATGGGCTCAAGGCCGATGTCAGACTTTGCGAATCGCGCGATTCGCTAGCGTCTGCGGTCGCGTCGCGGCCAGTGAATCACTCAATTGGCTGGTACCGCAACGCGACCGCGGACGCTAGCGAATCGCGCGATTCGCAAAGTCTGACATCGGCCTAACGAAGCAAACGCGCGATTCGATCAATTCAAAGCTGTGCGCCAGCGATTAGGCGCTGACTAAGCCCGCTCTATTAGCGCGCTTAATTCAAATTAGGTATCGACCTCGCGCGTTTATTGTCGATATCGATTTTTCACTCTCACGCGTCGAAGGTTTGACCACGGTGCGAGCTTTCGACGCGACCACTTTATCGTAGCAAGTTGTGCGTAATATCTAATAATTCAAAATTGAGACAGAATTTCCACGGTACAAATTCGGGTAAATATCGGTCGAAGATAACATTAATGTGGAATCATGCAACCATTTCGCTTGCCATTGTCGCCTATTTCCCAATTCGCAAACTCTGAACATCACTACACTGAAGAACGTAGGGGTTAGGCTTGAGAGAAAGGCTGTTTGGGCACAGGATACTTTTCCTGGACGCGACGAGTGCGCTGTGAATAAAGAATAGGTGCAAAGGTGCAGTTATCGGCTGTGGACGTCGATCGACTCCTCGTGCTCGCCCTTCGTCACCGACCACGCCCTGAAGGCACCAGAGGTGAGTCACCGCGAAGGCATCTGCCCCGGCACCCGTACCTGACGCTTTGCTCTTGACAGCAAGCCGTCTACCAGAATTTTCCATTGACTCGCTCGTCAGTACTAGAGCCATGGTCAACCACGCCGTGTAGCGTTTATGGGTAGCTTAGAATTGAGCTCCTACCAGCTTAATTTGACCCTCTTTCCGCAGTCCGTTAACTAGTACCGA